AGTTTAAGCATTGATGACAAATGCTGCAAAAAAATATTGACATTCTAATAATTAATTTGAGCATCCCATATAATTATTTTGGTGGTCCAAAGAAGATTATTTTCAAATCTGTATTCAGCTAAATTTATACATGCTACAAAAACTGCCCATTTAATGTAATAACTTTTTATTATGGAAATTATTTTATTTATCTTACGTCTAATTTCATATAGTCAATTATTACTCAATATCGTAAATAATATCAGATTTTTTTAGAACAGATGTACTATCCTATCTCTTTCTATTCTTCCTTCTCTTATATTTATTAAAAATATTTCAGAAGTGTGTTAAAGTGGCGATATAATAGCAATACATTATGTGAGGAAGCTCACTCTTTTCGTTACACCTGTTGGTGACAACAAAGAAGTCGTCGATTCAAGATAAAGAGAAAAGGATAGGGAGTACATACGAGTCTCGAAACGGTAACCCAGAAGAAAAGAATTCGACACGAGCGTACAGCGACATGAGTCGCGAGGACGCAGCCGCAGCTGGAAATAGGTTCGACGCGAGAGCTCGTCGTCTGGGTCCTCCGACGCTTCGCCAGTCGATTCTATCGTACATCTCTTTCGATAATCGTTCTCCTTCCTTCCTTCCTTTTCGTTCTACGCCAAAAATTCTCGTATCAAGATTTTACATCTTCTTTTCTATATGAAATCATCGCTTCGTATCTCTAATTTTTATCATATAAAAACTTTTTTTTCATAGAAAGAAATAATTCATAAATTAATGTTTCGAATAACTTGACAGGTCCTCAGCTTCTTAGCTTAGGCTGACGTAAACATGGGTTGATAAAGTGAAAAAGAGAAAAGCTTCATTCGCACGAGTACGACAGCGTCAAATAGACAGATCCGGATATCTGATATATCTGGAAATAGGTTCAGCGCCCGGGATTCAGCTCATCATCTGGGATCCTTCGTGGATCCTCTGGGATCTCCTGGTTAGCTCTGATAGGATTCTGTGCATCATTTCGCGAAACTTCAGGGAAATTGAAGTCGACGCGCTGCTGGTGACAGATCCGTATTACGCGACGTCGCGAGCTGAAGGCAATCTATCGAATGCACAGGGTGGTCGTCGTGGCTGGGATTATGTTTTCAGCGGGGACGATAGCCGTGAAGAAGAGAGGGATAAGCGCAAAAATAACTTTAACGTGCGCTAAAAGTGGCGTCCACCGGAGCGCCAGCCTTGCTACAGCACGTTTAAGAGACGGGCGGATCTTTTGACGATCTTCCTTCGATTCGGTCGATCAATCTTAAATTTCAGGACGCGTTTTGCACTTTAATGTCTCTATTAAATCCAGACTAAAAGGAAAATCACGGAGGAAAAAACATTGAAGAACACCCGAGCGGAACAAAAAGTCAAAGTGACTTCTGGACTTCCATTTTGGAGTCATTTTGACGTCTCTACTTGAATAAGAACTTCCTTTGACTTTGCACAACAAATGTCTCTACTATACACCGCGCGCATTAACTTAAAAAGATTAGGTGTAATGCTGTCTTCATCTTGCTTCCGTGCGGCTAAAGTTACGGTGAAATAGGATTTCGTGATAATGTATTTTGAGTCGACGCGGTAAAAGTAAACTTCTCATGCTTACCGCACGTTCGTGGCACGATGCATGTTGGTGCGTTTGCGACCGAAAATCTGGGGTCGATTATATCACTCGGTATTACGAAAAGATGATTCAAGAGAAAATCACGGTAAGTATGCGAGCTCTCAGGCGATATGCAATGCAAACGCGTGAACAGGTTGTCAGAAATTTTATCTCGCTCCGGAAAACCTTACTCCCTGCGAGATATGCACTTGCAAACTTATTATTTCCATAATGTCCTTCATTCCTTTTCAGTTTTCAGTTATCATCTTTTCGAAGTCACGATGATCGATTTCTCCGAGACGTGTGTGAAATTTGAATATAATATACAAATATAGTGTATTAATCCTCAGCAATTTCGCAAAATTAATTGTCTCGCTCAAAATCATATATTAATGTATCAGACATTTAATTGTACAATGTTTGACATGTTGAAAAATATTATTATATTACATTTATTTTAATATGAATTATTACATTTATTTAATATAAATTGAATTAATTTAAATTAATATTACACGCGAGTCTTAAGTGAATTCGACAAATCAGATCATGGCTGAATCTCTGTGATCGTCGCTCGTGCGCTTCCGCATCTCGTTATGCGTCACACTAATGAGTCAGTTCTCGCTATATGTGTTTCCTGGATTGCTCTACAAGCAAAGACTCGTAATTGGTCTCCCTCCTATCACGAAATCCGGAGATGTATACAAATCTGAATTAATGCGTCTTTTTAAAACATCCTGTTGAAGCTCACCCTGTGAATATATTTTTAAATACCATAAGGGACATATCGGATATATTGACACACATCACACGCACATTTACGTATTGAATTTCACAGATGTGTAATTCTATATTTATCTTATAAAAAAAAATGCAGGGAAATCCGATATTTGTCTCGTCTATTGAAAAAAAGGAAGGATTGTGTTACATCAATTATCTTTGGGGAGCTCTGAAATGCATACACAAGGATATATTTTGGCTGATTGCCATGCGAGATGTGACCTTCGGTATATTCAGCATATAGTGCAATTCAATATCTCAATACATTTAAAAAAGAAACAAAGTCGTCCAATTAATTCAGATATTCTTCTACGGATGATTGGCGAGAAAGGTCGTCTACTGCTTAAATTAAATGAAGCGTTTCGCGCGCGGCATTAGGTTGCTAGATTAGCAAACTCGGGAGGCCACCTCGAGACAGGCCGTCCTACTGAGCGGTCGTAGCACTTGGCAGAAGAAGTAGATTTAGTACCTGTTAATTCTCACGTGAGGGTAATTTGCGGCAGTAGAACTATCGTTCATAAAACGTGTATATCGATTAAAGTATCGTGAACTATAACTTAACAAAAGGCTTAGTCATACAATCATCTTTCTGAAGAGAGAGAGAGAAAGAAAGAGATAAAATTGAAAAGAATATTAAATTAATACGGAATAAAACTTTATTTTTTGGAAGCAATATAAATTTTAATATATGTTTTGAAAAAAAAAAACAAAAAAAACTGTCACATTTTTTCCCAAAAAATGCAGTGTACGACACTTTTTATTAATATCATCGATATATTTTATGCGATAAATTTTTAATATTTGTTTTTAAAGATAAAAACGTATAAATAAAAATGATAACTATTTATAAATAAATTTCCCGCGGTCATTCTAAAAAATTATTATTTCTTTTGCTACATATAGAACAGTCTTAATGGCGAACAGTATTCCGTAACTCTAACTGTAGCTTTCATCAACACCCACACTCGCGTTATATAATAAATATGTTAACAAGAATTCGAATAGTATTTTAATACATTTTTATTATTACAATTAACCAAAATAAATGAGCCTAATATGATAAGAAATGAAAAAAATCATAAAACCACACGAAAACGATGTAAAGGTGGTAGAGTAACACAGTTTTACAAAGATAGAAATTTAAAATATTGTTCTATTTAAAGCCAATAATTCAGTAGCCATACTTTTTTCATTCTTACAAAACTTGGTAAGAATTTATATTAATGATTTACATAAATAATTTACGGATATTTCAATATAACGTTCCAAGCTAAGATTTCTTCAACATCTAGCTTTGCTGATGCTTTTCATGTTTATCATAATCCATTTATCACTGTTGCCTGCATTTTACATATATCATTTACATCATTTTATAAATATCATTTTCTTGTATGTGTTTAAATGAAGCATTTATATATTATATTCCATCAAGCATAGCAGTCGTGACATCTATACTTATTATTCACTTAGAGAAAAATTCTCATTACAATTTTTATACGTTATGAAATACATGCACGATTTTTTCCTACGCAAATATGTATAATTGCGTAAATAAAAAATAAGACAATTAAATGTTCGCGCTATTTCATGAGTATGATTTTGAGAAAAATGAAGTTTCGAATTAAATTTCGATTTAAGGATCTCGAAAATCCATTATCATGTGGAGATAAAAAAAATATCCATGTCGAGAGAGATCATCTTAACATTCATTAGTTGAAATGATTGACATATGACAATTTTTTATATTAGAAACGTAACATTTTTAAAAAAGGATAAACAGTTTTTTCGTAGACGTTTATATTTAAAATGTTTCATCCTCGTATCATAAATTTAAGAGTTGCGTCGTACCTGTTGTCGCGTTCAACCCTGCTCTAGATAGAGGGCTTGTTTATAATTCAAGATCACACTATAATTTGTGATAAGATCAAACGATCGAAGGATCGTTACACGATTGATAGAACACTTACACCAATACACGGCAACAAAGTCCTTCTCGTTGAGGAGCCGTTCGAGTTGCTTGGCAGTGACTTCCTCGATCACCGGCTCGGCCTCCTTCTGCCTGCCTCCTTGCGGCGGCGTCAACGTGACCAAGGAGGACCGAGATTAACGCCAGTACGCTCAGAAGGATGATTGTCCTCGGGTGGTACATCGTCGTCGGCATTGTAAGGCCGCGGGTCGTAGTACTCCGCCTTCTTCTCCGCCAGCACCACCACCATCGGCCGAACCGTACCGCCGAACCGTCGTTCGCTGTCGACATCGCCGCACTGACTGTCTCACATCGGCTATTTTTGAATTTTCGGACGTCGGCCACACAGGGGAACGGTGTTAGGAAACGACGAAGACGAAGCCGAAGACGAAGACGATGGCGACGACGATGATTAAGATGACGTCGCCGTGTTGTATTTACTTATCGTTCCACTTTGTGTCTATTCTTTGTTGCAATAATTCATAATGGAGTGAATTTTTTATTTAACAGAAACAAAGCTTTTTACTATTTCGGTTGCAGCATAAAAAGGTAGTAATGCCTTTTATAGTACACTCTATCTCAGAGAGATCTTCTTGGGAACGTTCTCACAGAACGTTCTTTTGAGATCTGTGCTATATGGAGGGTGCACAATAATAATTACAATAGGTATTATTAACTTATGAATTAGAAACAACGAATTAGACAGTCAGAATTTCTTGAAATTAAATTGTTCTGGAAGATTGACATGCTTGTGCAATTACAATGAGATTGACCGTTTCAATACTGACAATGAGATATAAGCAATTAAGAATTGCTCTTTTTATACAAAGTTCACGAGAATGTCGCGTTTATTTTTGTAGAGTCTAAACTAGTAATGATACGTTAATAAAATACGAGCATGTGAATATACAAAATATACATTATTGCACTAATAGTGCATGTTTTGCACATGTTAATTACACTGTGGATCTTAAGTTTTATACAATTTCAAAATTTCTGTTAACTTAAAAAAAAATTACCCTCTTTTACTCTATAAGATATCGGTTCAAACATCGAATATGTAGCGTGCGAGAATGTACATATATATATATGGATACAGTTACGGGGACAATTACGTTATATATACGGGGACAGTTTGCTACAGTTGATCAGTAACCTCGACACAACAGAACAGCTATGACAGAAGTGGAAGGGAAGTCATGTATTGCCATTGTCGGAGGTGGTTTGGTGCGTAAAATATTTTTATTTCTCGATTTTGATGTAAAAGAACGGTAAATTAAAAAAAAGAAGCTATTGCAGGTTGGAGCATTAGCCGCTTGTTTTCTCGCTAAAAGGGATCATCAAGTAGTCATTTATGAATATCGATCAGGTAAAAAACATAAAAAAATTATATTCGAGTTTTAGCGCTTTTAACTTGCTCGTCTCGTGACTTATTACTCTTAGAAGTTTGTACTAATTTTATTCTTTAACATAAATAGATGTCATCAATGTAAACGATATTTGCTTAGAATAAGCAAGAATAAAGTTGATAAATTAATAATTATTTCCTAAAGCATTAAAAAAATAATTAAGAAATTTTGAGATATTACTTTTTAAATGCTTTAGGAAATAATTATCAATTTATCAACACTTTATTCTAAAATCATACTGATAATAATATCTTAAATAAATAATCGATTTTGAGTCTTTATATGTTTAGATATACGAATGGAAAAGTCGCGTGGTCAAAGTATTAATCTGGCACTGTCATTCCGTGGCAGAGAAGCTTTAAAAGCAATTGGTCTCGAAAATATTTTGGTAAAATGTCATGGTACTTGTATGCGCGGAAGAATGCTCCACGATAAAGACGGCAATTTGAAAGAAGTTCTTTATGACAGCGTCAAAGGAAATGTGTGTCTTTACTATTTCGAATTATCTTCTGTACATATAATTTTGTTTATCGTTTGAATGTTTACATGAGTTAATTTTTTATTATGCAGTGCATTTACTCCATCAATAGACGATATCTCAACGTGGTTTTATTGGACGGTATGTTCCTTTTTTTATATTGTTTGACATAAATCAAATTAAAATCATTTACTATAACAATGCTGAACTTGTAAGTTTATTATTAGTAATGTTCATTTAAAGAGGAAGAGTTGATTCTAAAAATAAATAAAAAAAGAAATAAAATAGATACATAAGATAAAATATAAATTCCACATTTTAAAACAAACTCTATTTGAGAATTAATAGTACGTTTTCTCTACTCTAAACTTATGTAACTTTTAATGATTATATAATTATTGTTGAGATAAATAATTTATGTGACAATATAATTAAAAAAAGGTATTCTTAATTTTTTTAAATTGATTTTTTTAAAAGTTAAGGTCCTCACATATTCGATACTTGGGCAAAAAATCAATTTGTTGTTTATTTAAAATAAATGTCATATTAATCATATTGTAAGTAAGTGAAAGGAATATGAGATTGAATGCGGGATGATGTAGTTAAAAAAAGTTTTACTCCTATGTGATATTCGATGACGTTGTCGTGTGCGAAGCCGCAAAAATTCACACGTATTATTTTACTCGCAGTACCCACTTTCTATTAACGTAGATTTTTTTCGCGATATCAGATAACTAATCTAATATAAAATCTAATTTAAAATTTATATAAATCTTATTTTATTGTGATTATATTTAATTAATAGCTGCGGAAAAATATCCGCAAGTACAACTCAATTTCAACAGAAAGCTCGTAGAAGCTGATTTGGAGAAAGGAAAGATAAAGTTCTTAAAGTGAGTGAGTGAATAATATTGTTATCGGAAATCAGTATTATATTTTGTCCTATTTAATTAGTTTCTTATCTTTAGTACTAATACGGGGGCAACGGAAGATGTGGAAGCTGATTTGATAATTGGTGCTGATGGCGCGCATTCGACAGTACGAAAAATTATGGCTAGGAGGCCGCTCTTTAATTGCGCTCAAACATATATCGAACATGGATACGTGGAACTATCTGTGCCGTGTAAAGAACACAATAAAGTGAGTAAAATGGATAGTTTTCGCCCAAAATCGAAACATAAGAAAATCTTAAAAATATTTTCCATGGTCCAGGTAGAAAAATTCAATATGAAGCTATATATAGAGTATCTCATACTCCTTGCTATATTTCATAAATATATGAGTTTAATACGATTGACAACATCATAATTCCATTTAACACAAAATGGCAACTTGCAGTATTTTTTAAAAAGTTATAGAAGTTTACTTGCTGGAATATGTTACACTCTATCTAGTTTACAGAAAGTCAAAAACGTTTTAAGACTTACATCCTAATGTTGAATATGTATGTTGTTACACATTTTTTAAAATTTAGGCCGAAGTTTCAACTGGATCAAAATTATCAGATTTTATGATATGAAAGAAGCGTCGCGTTTTTAATTAATTTTTTTCAAACATAGTTTGTAATTAAATTATAATATAACGAAAACAACCAAACAGAATTAGAATTAATATCATACATATCCATATCTTACATAAAACAACTAAGATACCCAATGTCTCAAAAATTTTTTTCTCAAAATCACACATCATTTAATCTGCTATAATAGATGATAACGATGAGGTGTCACAGGTGTCCTAAAATTATGGCCTCATAGGTGTCCTAAAATTATGTTTACAGATTGTACTGTTAAAAGAAAAATATGTAGAGTCAAGAATCATTTTTAGTGCTGTAATAAATTCATCTTTCAGGACAATATCTTTTTCTGAAATGAAATTTTATCTTCTTAGAGCACTATCATCAGCTAAATCAATAGAAATATTCATAAAAAGAGAGATAAGATCAAGAAAAATAAAAATATGTCATCAATAATAGGATTTTTAAGTTCGTCAATTAATTGAAAGCTATTGTGAATAATTACATTAGTTTTATTTTATATAGATTGATTATTTCAAATAAACCTGAACCTTCTTATCACATGGATTCCAAACGTTTGTATGTTTGATGTAATGATTTAAATATATATTTGTATTATATTTATGCATCATTAATTGCGTCTAATTCTTATTAGCCCTGTATGGATTTATTTAAACTTTTTATTATCTTTGAAGTTTGCGATGAGCGGTAACAATCTTCATATTTGGCCACGTGGCGACTTTATGATGACCAGCCTTCCGAATGAGGATTACACATTTACTGGCAACTTGTTCGCTCCGTTTTGTGTGTTTGAAAAACTGAAGAGGCGCGAGGCATTATTGAGCTTTTACACTGAGCATTTTCCAGATCTTCTGCGATTGATCGGTGAGAAGAAACTAGTGGAGCAATTTTTCGAAAAAGAACCGCAAACTTTAATATCAATTAAGGTTAATTTTAATTTTATTATATTCTGCGATCGCTCGATTTGTTAGATTTTAGTATGATTTAACTTCTTGCATTTTACAGTGTAAACCTTATCATGTTGGGAAAACTGCTGTTATAGTTGGAGACGCCGCTCACGCTATGGTGCCTTTCTATGCTCAAGGAATGAATACTGTAAGTTACTTTATCGAATTGATTTGAGGACTAAATTACTTCGCGACATTTGCAAAAAAAAAATAGAATATATTAACTATTATTCATCCCAACAAAGTTCATTAAAAGCTATCGCTTTTTTACTTTAAAAGTGATACAATAACTCAAAAATTAATTTTTAAAATGATAGAAAATTACTGATTAATTAAATAAAATCTGTGAATAAAATATATTCTTAACATAAATATTACATTTCTGTTTTACAATTTTAAAAAAAAATTATCTTTTTTTGAATTTTAGCGATTTCTTTAAACCACTTTTTTTTAAATCGTAATAATTTTTGAAAATCGTTGAATAATGATGTTTTTATGAAATTCTGTTAGTGTATTTTTAATGATTGACAGAATAATGTTCATTTAATTAAATATTATTATTTATGGTAATAAAAAAATTGCGTTTTTTGAATTATATCATTTTTGAAGTAAGGAAGCGATATGTTACCATCTCCAACAGCACAAAAATTGCAGCAATGTTACACATTGCTGGGGAAGTAATAGAATTTGATGTTATGATCATTTCCATTTTATTACGTTAGGGATTCGAAGATATTCTAGTGCTCGATGAATTAATGGAACGCTACAATTCAAACTTCGCAAAAATTCTGCCAAAATTTTCGGAATTACGATGCGACAATGGGCACGCAATATGTGATCTCGCAATGTATAATTATACAGAGGTACACATTAATCAAATTTATCTACTATTGTTTTCAGATACTCATGTATTGTTGATTCAAAATTAGTTTTTATCTTTCAGATGAGAGATTTAGTGACGAAAAAATCTTTTCTTTTTCGAAAGTTCTTAGACAAAGTTTTATTTACCCTTGTTCCCAATTTCTGGATACCACTTTATTTCGCCGTGCAGTTTACTCGCATGAGTTTTCGTGAATGCATAGCGCACAAAGAATGGCAGGATAAGGTATGGATAAGATATAACAAGTGATAAAATGCATGCAGCTACAAAAATTATCTCTTATATTACAGGTATTGAGAATGAGTCTTTTTTATCTCACATTTTTTATTTTTGCTGTCTTGACTATTCCTTTTTTACGAAATGGAATGTGAATTTAATCGTTGCCAAATATTACCAATTGTTAATTTATGATACGGATAACGTAATTAATAACTAATTTTTATAAGAAGTATTTCTACGTATTTAAGTATCTCATATAAATTTTTATGTAGAATAAGATGGCGCTTACTAATAACTATAAATTATTCAATTTATATATAATTTAAATTCAATTAATATAATTCTAATAATTAATATTATTAATACAATTCTATTAATAGCATGTATATTTTATGATCAAATGAAATATATAAAGGTACCTATTATTATTTATACAATAAATTTATTGCATATTTGAGCATAAATCGTACTTAATTTTTAAATACATATTACAAAAATTTGACTTTAATTTCATTTAAAAAATAACATTAATTTTAATAATAACCTAAATATGACAAACAAGGATACATATTTTATGTGTATACATATAACCGCAGCAATAACATGTAATTAAATTCAATATATAATACTTTTTTAAGTCTTTATAAATTCCAATTTTACTTTCAATCTAATTATTGAAAATGTATTTGTAAGTAAATTTTATACGAAATTAAATAATACAATACAATTAAATTATACAAGTGTACAATTAAAATCTCGTAATTGTACATAAAATCTTTCGAAATCTTTCTATATCGTCAAATAATTTTTATAAATAACAATTTTTATAATTGAAGTTTGAAAACAGCACAAATTTTCATTTTATATATCATATATGCATTCGAATAAATGTTATAATTCTAGAGTAACATTCTCTGCATTTTTGATATAATTATACTTTTGCGTTTCGAAGAGTTCAACTAAACTTTTCATAAATTTTTCGTGATATTCGTTGATTTGCTCAGTCGTGGGTTCATCTATTTTCGGTAGTTCAATAGGACTGCCAACTATAATAAAGAGAAACATAAAAAAATTATGTATATATTTTAATATAGAATTAGTAACATGAGATAATTAACAATTTAATGTGCGCATTGATATTTGCATTGCACCAATGGATAATACCAAATAGATACAATATAAAAAGAAAATTTACCGACTACGGTGATAGGTAAGCGCTTCGGAATAAGACCAAATGAATACTGAAAAAATCCTCTGCCCGAAACAATGACGGGTGCTAGTCCAATAAGATTGCGAATATAGTTCTGTATACGTCTGAAAGTCGATCCTTCTGGTCTGTATATTTGATTGTATAAATCCGTTTCGCCAAAAGAGAAGACAGGAACCAACGCCGTACTGAATCAAAGAGTTACATTAGGTTCGAGTCGTATTGAATATGCATAATTATTATACTATCGTACACTTTATTTTCCTATATTTTCACCTATGATTTACATTTTATTTACATTTTATTTTTAAAAACTATATAGATATATTACTAGAGATATAAAAAACAATATTTTTGACTTTGGAGAAAAAAAAACTATTTTTTTTACTTAATATTTCTCTCCAAAGTAACTGTAATAATTTTTGTATTTTTGACCAAATTATATAAAATTTATGAAAGAACATATAATTATTTCAATATAATGATTTAAACGACAGATATTTTATATTTAAAAGTTAAATAAGTGATATTATTAATACAGATAATACTTTATAAGCATATAGATACTGTTTTGTTGCATATTGATTATAATTGTATTCTATATTTTAATTATTTTGAGACAATATCCCAATATAATATTGATTCAAGAGTAATTAAAAATTCGATAAATGTTGTCTCACTAATTTAAAATTAGAATATGTATAATAACAATCACAGTGTACAATAAAAACAGAATTAATTAATCTAGAAATATTAATTAATCCAGAAATATTATTTGTATTAATAATAATATGAAATATTTACTTTTAAAATTGAAGTACAGTATGAAATATCATTCAAATAATAATGAAAAGTAAGGTACATTTATATATACATCAACATTATACTATATATTAATCATTATATTATATATTTTAACTTTTATAACTATTTCATGGAAATCTTACGGATAAGTGCAAAAATTAAATTCTGGAACAATAATATAGTGTCGAAATCGTGCTAAAAAAAATATCCGAGTAAAAAATCGAATCAAAGCCGAAGGAAAAAACTATTATTTTGCAAGTTTTTATTCTAAAATTCCAGAATTTTTCCGTCGTTTATCTCTCTCTCTCTCTCTCTCTCTCTCTCTCTCTCTCTCTCTCTCTCTCTTTCTCTCTCTCTTCAAAAAAACAGTCTTTTCTTGAATTAAAATTAAATTTCTTATAAAAGAAAAAAATTGTTTTCCAACTTGATAGAAAATTATTGACTAATCATATAATATCGGAAAAAATAATATATTTTTTATTTCGTAACTTTAAAAAAACCGTTCATTTTGAGTTGTGACAATTTTTTATAAAGTTAAGTTGGTTCACTTTTAATAATTCATAGAGTAATACTTATTTAACTCATAATAATAACTTGAAAATTACACTTTTAAGTCACTTTTAAAGTAAGGAAAAGCGATATATTTAATATATTAAAAGTATAGATAACTCACCCATATTTTAGTGCTAATTTCACAAATCCTTTTCTTCTTTTTATGATGCTACGGTAAGTACCCGGCATTGATTCCAGTGATTCAGAAGCACCACCGGCAATAAGAACTGTAGCTTTCCCGGTATATGGACTTTTTGGTGGTGTCGATAATAAGTACTTCATACTTCTCATGCTAGAAGCGCAACTACCTAAAAGTGTTCGATAATTTATTGTTATAATAAAATTATACAAAGAATATAACTTTCTAAGTGATCATCAGTGATTAAAAGAAAAAAAAAAAATATATATATATATTAATCGTAATATCTCGCGACGTAAATGCAATGTAAAAATAAAAAAATAGCAGTGCAAAAATGGTAATACAATATGCGGTACAAAGCGATACCGTGAGCGTGTTGGA